CATTGCTGGAATTGAGCCCAACGTCCCGTGTGGGGCAATTAAAGAAAGAACGTTTTTTATGGCAGAGTTTTCTCAAAGTGGAGTTCTGGGGTTGTGGGTGGGTTTTAAAATAGGGGTGCTCCCCTGGGGAAGCAGGAGAAATTTTCCCTTTTATTGCATCTGCGAGGGCTCTTGACTGCTTCAACCCAGAGTGAAGCTATGTGACTCTGAGGCTGGGTCATGAAAGGCTCTGAGGCTTCTGCTGTTTCCTGGACCCCAGAGCCTCATGTAAGGAGTTTTGAGCTCCCTGTGTGAGAGGCCATGGAAAGGTGTGCAGGTTGGTAGAGCGGTGAGCCCAGCCTCCCAGCCATCTTCACCAAGGTGCCAGCCATGCAGAGCCACCTGGAGAGTCGGCTCCTCCATCGGGACCACACGAAGAGAAGGATCACCAGCCTCACAGCCTGAATTCCTGACCCACAAAACTGCAGATATAATAAAATCACTGCCTTTTTTAAACCATTACATTTTGGGGTAGTTTGTTACACCCTAATAGATAACTAGGACTGACTGACTACGTCAGAATCACCAAGGGAGCTTGTCAAAATGTGTATTCCTGGGCCTTAGGGTAGATGTACTGAATCTGAACCTCTGGTAACAGGGCTCAGGCACCTGAATTTTATCCCAGCTTCCTGGATGACTTGGGTAGACAGTAGAGTGTAAGACACATTCCTTTAGTGGCACTGATTAATCAATTCATTTATTCGTTCTACCAATGGTCTAGTTATTGGCCATTACTGTGAATCTGACCATGTGCTGGGCACCAGGCATGGTTATAACCCAGATAGTAACCTGGCAGATTATAACACAGTCCCTGCCCTCAGGGACGCCAGTGAGCAAAAGGAGCACATTTTGCTTCAGCACAAGTTGAAGGAAAGGACCCTGCTTCTTTTTCCCCAATGGAAGCTGAGGGCCAAATTCTAGTTCAGAACTGCCAAACCTAGTCCAAGACATTAATTAGTCATGGCTAAGAAACCAGGTGCTCTTAAGGAATTGAATCCACTGGTATTTCAGGAACAGCCATCTCAGCAGCGCCTTGGGGTGTTTGAAAGAGGTTGGGGGCAGCTGCCTGATGCTATCTATCACCTTTTATTATAAGAAGGAAGTCCAGGCCTCCAGTGGCAAGGCACTGGAACCTCAGCCCCAGTCCCAGGTTTGTTTGCCCTTGAAAATGACATTCATGTGTATTTTTTCTCCTAAGTATAAAAGTGATGATAGAGATGGCTCATGACAGAAATTACAAAAAAATACTGAAACAAACAAAACCTCACTCAGGGGTCTAACCACAGTCTAGCAGAACGTTAAGAGATTGCTTGAGTCATGCACACCTGGGTTTGAATCCTGGCTTCATGTAACCTCTACAAGCCTTCATGTAACCTAAGACTCTTGTGAGGATTAAGTAAAAATGTACAGTTGGCCCTCCATATTGGTGGGTTTCACATCCACGGATTCAGCCCACCTGGGGTTGATAATATTTTTTAAATTCCAGAAAGCTGATGGCTAAACAATATAGTATAACAACTATTTACACAGCGTTTGCATTGTATTAGGTATTGTAAGTGATCTAACTATAATTTAAAGTATAGGGGAGGATGTGCGTAGGCTATATGCAACGACTGGATTTTATATAAAGGGCTTAGTATCTGAGGATTTTGGTATGGGGGGGGCCTGGAATCAATCCCCCGTGGGTACCGAAGGACAACTGTGTGTGTGTGTGTGAGTGTGTGTGTGTGTGTGTGTGTGTGTGTGTGTGTGTGTGTAGCTATTGTTTTTTTCTAATAGTCTGGAGTATTTCTCTCTAGTCTTTTTCTTTTATATATGCCTGTATGTTACACTGTCTGTTGATTGTTTTTCGGCATCTCTCCCCGACTTCCCCAGGCTTCTGGATGTCTCTGTTAGAGGTGGGGCCATGTCCAGAGATATCCTAGGTAAAGAGATGGTGGCAGTGGAGCAGGGGTGGTCAGGGTGGATGGTGAGGACCCTGAATTTGGAAGATGACCCCCAGGGCTCCTCCTCAGCACACCCGCCTCCCTCCGAGGTTTAGACAAAGCCCAGAGCTCAGAGAGTCTGCCAGCTTCCCTATGGCTTCCCCGTCTTGGTTTGTAGCTATAGCAACTGTTCTTTCAGACTTTCTGGGACAGTTCTCCACGTCTTGCAGTCTTACTGTAGCTCACATGATATTGGATAGAAAACACCAAAACATAAATTCTGTGTGGCAGCAGCAGGGATAGTGTGAATAATAGTATTATATAGGAAGTGTTATGTATCTCTTTTTCAGCCCTTTGGGGGGAATCAGGTTTTTTTTTTTTTAATAATTATGATATCCATCCAGATGTTGTTCCTTCTGCAAAAAGGAGCAGCTCTCTCTGCAGCCATGGGATAAGCACAGAGTCCCAGAGGGTAGCTCCGTTTAGTTTAGCATACAGGCTTTGGATTCAAACAGAACGAGAATCAAACCCTCGCGCTCCCAGTTATTAGCTGAGTGAAGTTTTACATCTCCAAGATTCTCTTTTCTCATGTTTAGATGGGGGTGATAATAGGTATCTCATAGTTTTATTGATAATAGATGAAATAGTATGAAATGTGCCTACCATAGTGTCTAGCACATAGTAATATTCCAACATTATTAATATTTTCAATACTGGAGGACTCAGAGCAGAGAGAAAAGCCACTGTACCAGCAAACAGGTAAAGAGCTGTCACAACACAGCAGTCAGAAATTGTCAGCAATACACTAGAGGCAGTGACTCCTTCTCCTTCTGAGGTTTAGACATGACACTAATAATAATAATAATAATAATAATAAATTATAATATAATATAATATTATATTATAATAAATAATAAAATTTCCCTCCAAAGGACAGAAATACGAATGGAATATGTAGTCTTATTAATCCTTTTGTTGCCTTCTTAAATTCTTCACACAAACAACCTTTCAAGAAGTTTATTATAAATAATTTTGGGAATTATGTGGACCTAGAATAGGGAAGCAGTGAGTCATCTTCCTTCAACTCTTATAAAATGTTCTTTTCCCACGACTCGTTTCTGCTGGAGCCCGTGGCACACCCTGCCACCCAGACAGCCTCAGCTCTGATCCTCAGCTCTCATCTCTCTCCCAGCGTCGCCTCAGAGCCCGACTGTCAACTGAATATTTTCCTTTGGACCTCCTACCATCCTTCAAATGCAACATGCCTAAAAAAACTTCAATTCCACTCCCCACCTTTTCCCCCAGAGAGATGCAACTTCCTAAATCTCTATTTCTACCAAAAGTGCTAGCACTTTCTCGTGATCCATATGCTGGAGTAATGTTTGACTCTATTCTCCACCTCCTTTTATAAGTGAACTAATGCCAAAGGTCCATCATTTGTCTCCTTTGCCTTTCTTCCTAGTGTTATAGGCACCAGACTGGGTTACAATCATCCCATATTTGGTCCATTGTTTCATTCTCCTAAGTAGCTCCCCAACCCTCCCCACCCATCACTCTCCCTTCCAAATCATTGCATGTACCAGACTAGTCTTTAAAAATAACACAGTAACTGTTATCAATGTCCTGCTCACAAAAGCCTTCATTGGCTCCACAATCCCAGAAAATAAGATCTAACCTCCTCAACCAGGCTTCTAAGATCTTTTATAATGTGGTTTCCCCTACTGACTCAGCCATGCCTTCTACTTATCATCATAAACTCTTCACTCCAATCCAGGCCATCCTCCTTCCTACCTTTCCTTCTGGCCTCTGAACATTTCCTTCCAAGAGGGTCCAACATTCTACCTTCCAGGTACTTTATTCCTCTACATACATCAAGACTAGACACAAATGGCACTTTTCCACAAGGCCATCTCACCTCTCCTAGGTCACCCTAAGTTCTTTTCCTTCTCTCACACCACATGCAGCTCTTGTCCATGCCTCATGTCTGTCATAACACATCATCAACCATCTGTTTCATGTAAAATACTAATGTCCAGGAACTTCCCTTTTCTTCTTTAGTACCCAGCCCCTATCACCACCACCACCACCACTACCACCACCACAAGGAACCCAGGGCTGTGAATTTAATAGTGAACCAAAAAAATACCCAACAAACCCAAGAGTCAATAAAAAAAAAAAGGAGGAGAAAGAGGAAGCCAGGGAAGAGAAGTAGAAAAAAGAACTTTTTTCTTGGATGCCTAGATATGTATCTTGCTATCTCCCAGGTTCACAGACTATTTGAACAGAAAAGGCCATAAAAATTATTGGTTCCAATAATATGATGCTGACTGTGAAAACTTGTTAAAAACTAGAAATAACATACTTGACCCAGAAAAGACAATAATAATAATAATAATAATAAAAGGATAAATATCCTTTACTATCCCGTGTGACCTTCAGGGTGTCATTTCACTTCTCTGTTCTTCAGTTTCCTCGTTTTTGAAGTGTGAATGACATAACACTTATGTGAGGAGCTATGTGAGTATTAAATGAGATGATGTGTGTAAAGTTCCTGGTGCTGAGACATAGCATGTGCTCAGTAGTTTTTAAGGAAAAGATCCCTTGCTTGTCTTACATCACAGAGTTGTGCTTTGAAAAACATGTAAAGCAGTATTTCTCCAAAGCTGGTCACCACCTATTAATGGGTTGTGTGATCAATTTAGTGGAAGGTTATAGGCATATCTACATCTATATAGATGTGCTACTTTAAGAACAGTGTTATCTTCCATCTTCTCTGGACCTTGGTTTTTCCACTGACACCACAATCTTGCTGATGTTTTCTTAATTTTTCTTATGTCTGACATGTAACATATACCACTGTTGCTACAGTAATTAAAATGGAGAGAATTCCCGTGCGTGGAATTCTCCATGCCAATGGTCAGGTCTAGTGTGCATCTTTCTCCATCAGATGGGATACTCTGAACACCACAAGGAAAGAGGACAGCTTCTGATTTTGAAAAGCCCCTTCAGCTGGTAACTTAGTCTTACATTCTGCAGTGATTCCGTCACCCACATTGTGGCAGAAAACACTTCTGGTTCCGATGTCCTGGAGTGGCTTCAGGTACAGAATATAAAAGCCAGCTCACAGCTAGAAGTCCTCGATGTCTCCTGGCTGATAGAGTGTATCGGAGCAGGAAAACCGGTGGAGATGACAGGGAAACACCAGCTTGTTGTAAGTGTCACAGTTGTGATTTTCATTGTCCTTTGCTTGATGATTAGGAACATGGGCTATAGGATCAACAGGCCTGGGTCAAACCCTAGGTTCTCTGCTTACTGCCAGTGTGAACTTGGGCGAGTCACTTAGCTTCGCTGAACTTCAGTTTCCTCCTCTATAGTATGAGGTAACAATAGTGCCTACCTCATAAAATGGTTCTGAAGATTAGAATAACATACATGTAAAGCATTTAACACAAAGCCTGACCTATAGGAAACATTCAATAAATGGTAGCTACATTTATGAACAAGTCTATACACAAATATTTCAAAATATTGAAGCTTTGATGTTCTGGTAGCCAGAAAAGTAGAGGGTTCCTATTTTTTTTTCTTACTATGGCCATTCATAAAGAAAAACAATTAAGAAAGTTAAGCTCTTAATTCAAAATTCTTTACCAATAGTGCTAGAACCCTCAGGAAGAAGGTTCAGACCATAACTATATAAGTTCATGGGAAAGGAAAACGGTATTTAATTGATGGTCCTTTCTCGTGTTTTTTTTTTCTTTCCTAATTGCAAAAGTAATACACGTTATTTATACCAAATTCAAATATTAGAGATTCGGATAACTTAAAATTTGACTCTCCTATAATTTTATCCTCTCCCCAGAAACAATTGCCATCCGACTGCCTCCAATTTTTTCTTTGTACATATCTGTTATTATTACTATTGGTTGTTACTAAAAATGATGCCTCTGCATTTGTTTAGGTGAGAAGAGACTATTCAGCTAGCTCCAACCCAGAGCCCCGGGAGACTCCAGCACTTGCTGTAAAAAAGATCTCTCCATACGCATGTCAGAGAAGAACCACTTTAAACAACTGTAACCACATATTCACGGTAATGGGACTTTACAACACCCAGAGCAAATGAAACTCTTGCAGCCTATTTCCGTGGATCTACAAATTAAACTATAAAATTTTCTGAAAATCTAGGAAAGTTTTCCCCACGCTCACCCACCCACCCAAGCCTGATCTCGGATTCTTCTTTCTGTCAAGAATAGGTCTATTTCTGTTATGGAAATGGACAAATATAATTGAATTATATTCTTAAAGATGACAGATTACTATTTATTGAGATTTGTCATTGGGCACAACACTTGTCAAAGGTAACTATTCTGAAAAACCAAAAATTATAATTAGTCCAAAAATAGTAAGCACAAATTACACAGAAAAAGCAATAAACAGCTTTCGTTGGGAAACCAAAAGATTAAGAGACAACAAACCTAGATTCTTGCCTCTCTGATATGACCTATCTTGGGCAAGTTAGTTCCTCCCCCTGAGCCTCAGTTTCCTCATCCATTCAATTAAAACTTAGCTAGATCATCTCTAAAGCCCCACCCAGCCCTGAAGTTTGGCAATTGTGTTTCAAATGACTCTGACAAGCCCACAGCTCCTTGTCCTCCAGCCTAGAGTCAGTCCTCAGGTGGATAAAACATGCAGTAATATATCAAATACAAAACTTCCCATTCCAGCCCCACATGTGGGAGGAAGACCAAGAAATTGGCAGCTACTGGGCACCATGGGCACGATGCCACACAGCTGCAACCACTTCCTCCTCTGCTAGAAGTGCAAACGTGCCCTACCTTAAATAACCCCAGCCTTGGGTCTGCGCCATCTATGATTACGCCCATTTCAACAAGTTTTTGTTAAGTGCTCACTGTGTTTTATGTACTAGCTAAGAGATGTGGGATACCCAGTGATCAAGGCAGAATCCTGGCCACAGGCTAGTGGGACACTCAGCAAGCAAAGTGAGAAGGATTATGCTGAGTAATGACTAATAGGATGCTGTGAACATGAGATCATGTTTTGGTTCAATCATTCCTGAATATCTATCTAATGGCAGTGAACTCAGTTTCCTTACAAAGCACTCCATCGTCTGTCTTTTCAATTCAACTCCACTCATCCAACAAGTGAGGGGTATGAAGGTACTGCAGACCCAATCCTGACTTTCAAGGAAAAGGTCAGGTAGTGTTCCAATACTTAAAGGAGAGCAAGAGATGTTTGCGAGGGACCACCGGCTCAGGGGCTAGGAAACAGACTGTGTTTTCCTCATCTGGTTTTTTCCTTCAGGATGCCTTCGAGGTACTGGCTGAAAATTATGAGTTTAGAGAAAATGAAGGCCCCTGTCTGACATTTATGAGAGCAGCTTCTGTACTTAAATCTCTGCCATTCACAATCATCAGTATGAAGGACACAGAAGGAATTCCTTGCCTGGGGGACAAAGTGAGGAGTATTATAGAGGTAAGAATGAAATGTGATTAGTCACACCTCCTACTAGGTAGGTAGGGAGGTAGGTAGGCAGGCAGGGAGGGAGGGGAAGAGAGAGAGAGAACAGGTTTTCCTGTCAATTATGTAGATGTATTCATGACTTGCTGTACTTTCTCTTGATAGATTAGGTAGATGATAGATAGATAGATAGATAGATAGATAGATAATAGACAGATAGAATCCATACCCCAATATTATCATATGTGGAGGTATGTGGGGCCAGCTAAGTGGAAAAAAATTCTCCTATATTATTGTTAATTACTGTGAGAGATTCAAGTGATCTGAAAGCTCAACAGCAAAAGATGGTCTGACTTCAAACCAAGGCTCTGTGAAGAACCCCAGTTCCATCAGGGAATGTCACCCTCCAGAATGGTAGTGGGTGTAACAGGGAATGGAGTTGATTCTGCATCTTTGTGTGCTTCAGAAAGAGAGCCAGGGACAGGTGTTTATTTACTTAATAATGTTGAAGGATTCCCCAGCGAGGTAAGTTGGTCACCCAGGACTATGTTTCGGTATAGTGAAGAGCAAAGTAAATTATTCAAGAAAAATGATCCTAACTAGTTCGTCTATCTAGAGAGGCGTGGGTAGCTCGGAGCTAGATATTATAAGAGCTTGAACTTAGATTAGCTTTTTGATGGGTCCAAATTATATAAATTATATAATTGACTAACTACTATGCTGTATACTTTAAACTAATATAAAATAATATTGAATGTCAACTCTAACTGAAAAATGTTAAAAGGGGGGGAAAGATCAATAATATTGTGATAACGTGGTAGAGTGTCAGATGTTTGCTGGACTTATGGTGATCACTTCTTTAGCACAGAGAATATAATCAATAATGTGGTAATAACTCGACACTGCTAGGTGGGTCCTGTTGAATATTATGATGTATGATGTACACCTGAAAGTAATATAATATTGTATGTTAGCTATATTTTAATAAAAATCTTTTCTAAAAAAAGCAAATGATCACAAATATTTAGGCACACTTTGGTTAGTAACTATTTTCGTTTTGGTGTTCTGTAGATTTAGACCCGAATCATTCTGTACCTTTGTTACTGAGGATTGTAAAGCGATACTTGGAAATATAATGACCTGGGGTTTTCGAGATTATAGAGAACTGTCTTATTTTCTCCAGATCAACTAGGAAAACATCCTCCACACAATTGGTGTGCATTTTATGAAAAATGAAGCTACTAGGTCTGTGAATTTGAGAGACTTGGACTGTGGTTGTCCAATAGCACTAACTTAAAATATTTTTCAACTTTCCATGCAGGAAATTATTGAAGATGGACAAAGTTCTGAAGTTGAAGCAGTGTTAAATGATGAACGATATCAGTCCTTCAAAGTAAGTGATTTTACACTAATCCCATCTTTAAGGCCCCACCCTCATGATCTCATATAAACTTAATTACCTCCAAAAGGCTCCATCTCTAAATACCATCACACTGAGGGTTAGGGCTTCAGCATATTTATTTTTTGTGGGAGGAGACAATTTAGTCCATAGCAGTGGTCTAGGAAGCAGGTGCCTAAATAAGTATCGGTGCTCAACCTTATTGCCATGCTATGCTAAGATACAAATTACCTTACCTTCCAGGCATCTGTCACTCATGGGTACACACACCATCGAGACACTAGAACCATGGGACAAAACAGCCTGCTCCTAAAGAGCAAGAAAGATCCTTGTTGGAAAGATCCTTGCTGCATCCTTGTCTATGTTGAAGCAGGGTTCACTACCTCCCAATGTTCCCTACCTTGGAGTTGCAGGAGGCAGGGACTTCTGCCAACCCCTTCAGTTCAGGAATGATGCACAAGCCTAAAAGGTGGTGTGGGCAGGCGCCTGAGCTTGGAGTGTAGACAGGCTGGCTGTGAGTCTGGGCTCTGCCACTTACTAGCCGTGTGATGGTGGAGAGTTTTTACAACCTACATGCACATCCCTCTTTAAATGTCAAGGATGAATATGCAGAGCATTAGTGTGTGTGAGAGGGACCCTTGGCAAAGGGGAGTGCTTGATGGGGCTAGCTATTGTCACACATTGACAGCACAGGCCATCCCACAATCAGATTACACTGAAGCCCTCTGAAGATGCCAGAACCTGCCTCCTCATGTCTGTTTCATTTATCAGGAAAGGACCCTTCTGCAACAAAAATGTCTCTAAAAAACCACCATCACCCACACGCTTGTCATGTTCAGGAGAAACTGGGTCAGAGATTTACTTTTACTTACACTTTTTCTTAATCCCTTGACTTTGAAAGTATCATTTCATTATCGTAATGATTAATTTTAGAAACTGAAGGCATGCTTTTCTCTCTGTTTCAGCTCTTTACTTCTGTATTTGGAGTGGGATTGAAAACATCTGAGAAATGGTTCAGGATGGGTTTCAGAACCCTGAGTAAAATAAGGTCAGACAAAACCCTGAAATTCACACGAATGCAGAAAGCAGGTAAATCGTTTCTCCTAAAAATCTCCCATTGTTACTGTGGGCTGGGCAGGTCGCAGTAGAGCCCAAAGTCAGTTGAATTTCAACTCTAATCTCCATGAGCTGGATCACTTGTTTGGCCTCTTTTCATGCTATAGTTAAAAGCACACGGTTTTTGCATCAGACAGACCTGGATCCAAATCCTGGCTCTGGCACTCAGCAGCTGTGTGGCCTTAAGCAAGTTCGTTGAAATCTGTGGGCCTAAGTTACCTCATCTATAAAAGGGAGGTAACACTGGGACTTAAGTAGGAAATAAATCAGATAATGGTAACACAGGCAAAGCCTGTAGCACTGTGCTTGGCACAGAGCAAACGCACTCTTTGTGGTGGCTGTTGTCATCCCTTTATCCACTTATCAAACCAAATTGCACTGTTGATCTGGTTCTGACTGAGCTGACCCTTCTAGATATTGGGGTCCCAGCTAGGTAAGAGGCATGGGTGAGGAGTCAAGGACAAAAAGGTGATATGGAGGACGGGAGAGTAAAGACTATTTGAACAAACTAGAGTTGTTGCCCAGCGCAAGTATGGGTCTACTTTAGAAACTGTAAAACATCAGGACATAGAAGCAAAATGGTGAAAATCTAGATACAGGGTTGCTCTACCCAACCAGACTCATTCACCTGAGAAGAGAAGACAGTGTTGACACAGGCATCTGAAAGCCTGAGGGGCATACTGGAGGGTGAATGTGGCTTGGTCACTTCCATTTATGGAGGGTCCTCATAAATTTTTTTTTAATGAAGAAATGTTAATACAGGGTCAAAAAAATTGTGCGTGTTTTAAACATTTACTTTTAACATGCAATAGAAATACAATAAAATTGGAGTTTGAAAGGGAGTCACGGCCACGGTCCTGAGCACTATGGCTTCTGAGTTGCAAAGAATGACGAAGTCATCAACATTTTTAATGATATTAAAGTAAAAGAATCTTCTACAAGAAGAAACCAGGAAAAAAACAAAAAAACCCCACTATCTTCTGCTTAAGTGATGAAAAGAAACAAGCAACGGGAGAGGAAACAAATCAAATCTTGGTGGTTCACATTAATGCTGCTATAGAAGACCCCTACTCATCTTTCGTCAAGTTGCTAATCTCGGAGAGGCTGCTAAAATGCTTTATAAGATGCCACATAGGAAATAAAAGAATCTAAGAAAAAAAACAGTATTTATATGCTGGGCTCCTGAAAGTATACCAGCTCTAGAGATGCCATTTTAAAAAATTGCATAAATACTAAATATAAGTATAGTGACTTGGAATGATAGTAAAGACTCTCAAAACATAGAGAGAAATTTGGGGGAGGCAATGAGTGTTTGGCTTAGATGAAAACCCTTATCAAATGACACCAAATGCTCGCAAGAGCTAAGTAACTTCCAATCCCCCAGCTTTGTAAACTGGAGTTTTCTCTCCCTATCCAGCTCTTTGAGCCCACTGAATGAAGCAGCTCACTTAATCAATTAGTGATTGCCATCAGACTGTTGAAGACTCTTGTTTTATGCAGAATTCTAGGAATGCCTTCTTATCATACTTATAGCTTGAAACCTCTGGCTATATGTATTCCTTTAGCAGCACGGCAATGAATGGCATTGTCAATGGGAATAGTTTAGATTACTGCAAAGGGTAAGTTAATTGAACACATTGAAAGTATGATCCATGGGTCAGATGAAAAACCTGATTCAGTTTTAGTTTAATTTCACTTGGTTTATTTCCCTGAGGATTCGCATGCCACATTGGCCTTGAACAGTCAATGTCTGAAATATAGTAGCACACATATAACATTATGCCATGTAATAAATTTCTGGTAATAACCTCCCCAACCATACCAAAAGGGAAGCAAGAATGCCTGTTAAATTGCTTTCATGGGTGTCAGCAAATTATTATAGTCTCTCCATGTTCATACCTGCTATCTGCACATTTTATTAAAAAAATTGTTAATTGTGACTCTTGGGTTATGTACATCCTGAATAAGCACAGGAGTTGTATGGTTACCAAGGGAGTTGTACTTTGAATGTCAGTCATGATGAAAAATCTGGTATCAATATAAAGCTTAATGGAGCACTGCTTTTTTTTTCACATTAATGAATTATGTATTTAAATTTATTCAATTGAGTTTTTACTGTAGTAAGAACACTTAACATGAGATCTACCTTCTTAGAAATATCTTCCCCATTGGTACCATAACTTATTTATCTGCTTCCTGTTGATGGACATTTGAGTTATTATCAGTTTTCAGTTATTATGAAAAAAGAAAAGGGGTTAGGAACATTGTTGTACCTGTGGATATATGTCCTCACCTCCCCCGTGCATATACCTAGGAGTGAAATTGCTGAGTCAGACGATAAATAGCTATTTATTTAGCTCTCGTAGATACCACCGTGTTTCCCCCAAAATAAGACCTAACCGGAAAATAAGCCCTAGCATGATTTTTCAGGATGCTTGTAATTTAAGCCCTACCCCAAACACAAGCCCCAGTAAAGATAATCAGCCAGACATGACTGTTTGAATAAATGTAGATTTTTGTACATGAATAAATGAATAAATGCAGATTGTTGGAGTAAAAATTAATATGAGACCTGGTCTTATTTTCTGGGAAACACGGTATGTGCTCCATACTAGTAGATACAGTTTTCCAAAGTGGTTGAACCACTTCCCACTCCCATTAGCACTGTATGAGATTTTCCGTTGTTCCTTCCACATCCTCACCCACACTTGCTATTCACAGTCTTTTCTGTTTTGTCCACGCTGGTGTATGAATAGTGTTATCTTATTGTAGTTTTAGTTTGCATTTCCCCGATGACCTTTTCAAGTGCATCTTGGCTAATTCTTCTTCCAAGAGGTGCCTGTTCAAGTCTTTTCTCTTTTTAAAAGTGGGTTGTTTTGTCTTTTGCTTACTGATTTGTAGGCGTTAGTTGATGTTCTGGATGTAAATCCTCAGACAGATAGATGAAATTCAAATATCTTCCCCCAGTCTGTAGATTGCTTCTTCACTTGCTTAATAATGTCCTGTGATGAACCAAGTTCTTATATGAAATGAAATCCAAATTATCAATGTTTTTGTTATAGTGTTTTTTTCTACTCTGTTTTTAAAGATATTTGCTTACCCTCAAAATCATTAGGATATTTTCCTGTATTCCTTCAAAAGCCTGATTCTTTTAAACTTTTGCATTTAGGCCTATGATCCCCATCACATTAATTAACAAATTTTAAGTGCACAATAGAGTACCATTAACAATAGGCACAATGGCATACAACAGATCTCTAGAACCCAAATCTACCCTCTTCCTATTCTTGACTTTAATTTTTTTAATTCAACTATCACCTTCCAATCCTGAATCTTCCCATCCCTCTTTATGCGTTGTCGTCTTTAAATAATAGGACACAGCTTATTGATCAAGAGGGCTGGTACTGCAGCAGGAAGTCAGGTTTGAACAGCTTGGTTTCTGCAGGGATATGAAATATTGTCTCTTTCCTAGTCAGGAAATTGTATGACTTTCAGTCAGAAAGCAAAGAGCCATTGTTACCATGAAACGTTCACCCCCAGAAGAGCAGAAATAACTGGTCTCTGTGGAACAGTTTGGTGTTGATGCTCGCAGCCATGTTAGCTCTGTGCGGGCAGAATCCCACCCCGCTGAGGGTTGGTTATTTCACACAAGACATGTCACTGTCTCCACTCACGTGTCCCATGCCTCTCAGGGTTCCTCTATTATGAAGACCTTGTCAGCTGTGTGACCAGGGCAGAAGCAGAAGCGGTTGGTGTGCTGGTTAAAGAGGCGGTCTGGGCATTTCTGTCTGATGCCTCCATCACCATGACAGGAGGATTCCGGAGGTAAATCAGCAGGCTGCTCTTGTCTCCCCTGCTCTAACACCTTCAGTGGCTCCCCATGTTCAGAGTTCAGTTTTAAACATGCCACAAAGCACCTTTGGTGGCCTGGCGCCAGCCTCTCTCTGCACCTCATGTTTCACTCCAGCAATCCTAAACAGCTGTCATTCTGCACACACGAAGCTGTGTCTTGCCTCTATGACTTTGCTCAGTTGGACCCTTCTGTTTGTACTGGCTTTCCTCAGATAGTTACCTGGCTGACTTCTCCTTGTCCTTTAAGACTCAGTTCAGATGCCACCTCCTCCAGAAAGCCTTCCTTGACGCCCTCCTCCCCATGCTGGGCTAGGCACCCCTCCTCAGTGCTTTCTGAACAGCTGACAAGTAGTTTGTTTGTATGTGTGCTTTCCCCAAGTTTTGAGAGCCTTGTGCTACCTGAGGGCTAGTGCGTGGTGCCTGGCACAAAGTAGGCACTCAAGAAATATTGGTTGAGTTAAAGAATGAATGAATGAACTCTTCACAGAGAGGTGTGCCATTGTTGGATATTGAAGCTTCCATTTCAGGAAGAGATTCCATCCCTCCCACACTCTCCCCTAATTCTCCCTGTGGCCATCTTACATGGTGGCTGTTGGCTGCTTTGGCAAGCTGGGTTTGAGGTGAGGAAGAAAGTGGGAAAAGAAGATCAAATCTAAGAAAATGCCTGTAATCTATGTCATAATTCCAAGAGCCCTATCTTATGTTATGTGAATATAGTTCTTGGTTTGCTTGTTGTCGTACTTGTCTGTGTGTGGAGACGGGGCGGGTGCATGTGTGAGAGTATCAAAGAAATAATCTTTGTCTTTTTCTACCCACATGATCATATACATATTGTGTATGATTTTTTATTTTTTCTGTGTCATGTATTTGTTTTGCGAGGCATAGAGTTGTGCAACCGAGGATATTTTGTTTAAAAACATGTCATGAGCATTTTGTGTTGCAAACCTTAAAGATAAGGCATATAAACAAAGGTGATTTTTAAAAGTGATGAGCTAAAAATTAAAAATCCAATTTATTTCCATTTTGTACTTTTTTTTTTTAATCAGGGGTAAGAAGATTGGGCATGATGTAGATTTTTTAATTACCAGTCCAGGATCAACAGAGGAAGATGAACAACAACTTTTACCTAAAGTGATAAACTTATGGGAAAGGAAGGTAAGAAGAAAAATCAAAAGTGGATGTTTGGACACTCAAACATTATATTAATACTATTGAATTTTGCACTATTTACCTCATAATTATATAATGATCGCCTAAATCGATCCTCAATTATTTGCAACAGCTATCACAATGTCACCTGATATACAATGAGATGTACCCACTTTGGGTCCTAGAGTCCATGTTACAGATATGTATCTTGTTTAAACACACTTGGCCTATTACTGAAGGGGCCGAGTTGGTTTTGTCTCTGCGTTGGACATGCAGAGGCATTAAACCTCTACACAAAATGAAAAGCATGTGCTGTGAAGCCCTAGGAGGTGTGAGAGGAGGCGGAAGAAGTGCAAGGGTCAGGCAGGACGGCTAAGACTGCGATGAAATCAGTCTAAGAGGTGGTGCTGGCACACTGAACTCTGTGCTGGTCAATGACGACCTTGACCTTGTGCTGAGATGGGAAGAAGGAAACTAAGGCGGGTAACTTGGGCCCAGCAGAGGTCATGGCTCAGGAGCCCCCACCCACGGAGGAGATCAGACTTTCCAAAAACCGCCTATTGCCCACAGTAGGATGCTAAGGACCCTACAAGCCAGAGCCATCTGCAGGGTCCTGACTCCTGCTGGACCCTAGTGAGAGCTCCACTGCCCAAAGAGACCAGAGGGCCCCACCCAGGGACCTGGAGGAGCCTGGGGCTGGGGTTTTCTGGCACATCCTCCCTGAGTGCTGCAGCTTCTGCTGGGGGTGGACCACGCTCCTTGATATGCCAGAGAGAGAAGCCCTCAGATAAAGTGAAAATAAGAGTTAGAAACACACAACCCTGGAACAAGGAGCACCAAAAGTGAAGATTCAACTTTGGAACTAAATCCAAATTCACCTGTGAGGCCATCCCAAGCCCTCTCTGTCCCTTTCAGGAGAAGGAACCCAGGGCGGCCGGGGGCCCTGAGAGTGAATGTAATAGGCCAAGCCAGGGGAAGGCAGGATGAGGAAGCCCCAGCTACACCTGGGTGAGCCCCACTGCTCTGCTCAAGCAGGAAAGATGAAAAGATTCTTCTGGGTAGACAGCACAACTCAGGGACCCTGCTGGCTGAGGCTTGGGCGGAGAAGGCACTGCCTTGCTCCCCACCTCGGGGCTCCTGCAAGACCTTGGTTTGACCTTGGTTTATAGGCTCCATCCTCTGAGACTGTCCCAGCCCAAGACAGGGATGGGGTGGGGCATCCCTGATGGCCTTACCTCAGTTTCGAGGCATACTGCTGGTCCCCGAGCAAAGAAATAGGCAGGCACCAATGGAGGTGGACATGAAACATGTGGGTTTCAGATGTGAGATTTTAAAAACACAACCCTGCCATTTACTGGCTGTATGACCTGGGATGCTTAATCTTTCCAAGCTTCTCTTTCCTCACCTGTAGAACAGGGATAATACACCTCTCATATTCTGTTAACGGGGAGGATTAACTAACAGAATTATATCGATGAAGCATTTAACACAGTGCTTGATACATGCCTGATAAATGGTAGCTGTTATCATGATCTCTCATGCACAATTATTTCCTGAATTCTGCTGGAGAGCCAGGCCCTCTGCCAGGTGAGGGGACCCAGGAGAGTGTAGGTGCAGGCTCTTGTCCTCTCTCGTTGACAAACAGGACCTCAGGGAGGAGACGCCATGGCATAGTTGGTGTCCCAGCTCTGCTTGCACCCCTGCAGCCCCAGGCCTGCCCCCCAACACCTCTGTTGTGAAACCAACCAGCGTACGAGTTCTTCATCTTTGACTTCCACCTTGAACTCACTCCTCACCCGTGCCCTTCTTACCAAAAACTGCCCTTTCCAGATTATCGATTGCAGACCACACAGGCACACATGTGCACCTACTCACACAACACGCCCATATACACATCCAATGTTTTAAAATACCTGTGGAGCAGAGTGAACAGCCAATAGGGATCTGTGTGGGCCGCCTAGCACACGAATTTCAATGTGATCCTAGTAGGAGACCTCTTGGTCAGGGGTGGGAGAAAGAGGAGAAAGAGCTTGGAAGTTATCTCTGGGCGAGGTCTCCATCCCAAAGACTCCATTAGCTTGAATCTCACTGGCCACCAGCAGTTCTATCCAAACAGGGGGAGGCTAACAATGTGTGGTTTGGGTTGATACCTGATGAGTGGGACCTTGGTACAGAGCCCCTGACTGTTCCCTGTGGCCACATCCCCAGTTCATGGAACTGCTGAGATATTGACAGTATCGACAATCATCAGAGAGTAAAGACGATTTTCGCATTGAAAAATGGACTTGACTTTGGATGGGGGATGCAGACTCTTCCGAGAAGGGTTTGGGGGAAATTGAAACCAAAGGGTGGATGGATCCTGACTATGAAATCGGCCTCGAGCTCCCGCCTTACCACCCTCCCTGCTCGGTTTGGGGAGAGCCTGAGGCTAAATGCCAGGCAAAGGAGCCTCCTTCTTTGTGAGAGGGGAAGCTGAGAGCAGAACACATGTCTCCTGCCCCATGTCACCCACCCTGAGAGCTTGTCCCCTGGGGAGGGAGGAAGCAAGGAGCAGGAAAATGCCTCCCTCCTTGTCAGGAGTCCCTCAGTTTCCAGTAGATAAAAAAGGACCGTGCTGATGTGAAATCCAGTCCACTCCTGGGTGTTGATGAGGAAGCTGGAGACCACACCTTCAAGAGTTTTCAAACTCTTGAAAAGTTATGTAAAGAGAATGGGGGACATCAAGGAAGGAAATAGAGATGCCCTGCAAGCAGCCCAGGCCAGCGAGCAGAGGCGACAACAGGGGTTGAGTGTGTGTCTGACAACCACGCCCTTTGCAGACAGAACTGCCTGAATGTGCAGACAGGAGCCATTCAAGGGACGCACCCCAAATACCCTGCAAAACTCAAATCAAACCCCGAGCAAGGATGGCCCATTGTCTATTCCAGCCAGAGTGTCACCACCATGTGGAGAGAGTGCAAACATTGTTAGAAAGCCAGCTTTGTGGATTTGTGTGTGTGTGTGTGTGTGTATGTGTGTGTTGGGGGGTTTCCAAAGTGAGACTTATTAATATTTTAATAGCTCACTTTTCAAGTGTACATAATTCAAACTTACATGAAAGGCAGCTATACTGTACTAATTTTGGTAAGTTTCATTAAAAAGTGGAATTGTGTTTTCCTGAGCTGGTTATTAGATGTATCGATGGCAATATCTGTCACCTCCCCCAGAGGCTCTTCCTGACTTCATGCTTCTCTCCTCCCCCCACTTCAAATGGTGTCTGTTCTTCCTAACACCTTCCCTGGGGGAGGCACCGAAGGGTGAAGGGTTCTTTCTTTGAGATCAGCAAAAGGAAGTGTCCGCTCCTCAAAGCATTAGGTTGAATTGGAACAATGTCTCTTTGGGGGTTGCAAAAGAAATGTAAAACATTTCTAATAATAATAAACTGAACCAGTGATGTCCAAAGTATGGTCCATAGGGTAGTAGCATCAGCATCACCCAGGAACTTGTTAGAAATGCACATTCTCACCCTCCCTCCCCGCACCACATGGCTCTGGAGACAAAAGCCTGCAAACTGCGCTGTTAACAAACTTTCCAAAATGCCTCTGAGAACATCTGACCTAAAGAATACATGATAACATTCAAGTGGATGGTTAGCTCAGGTGGTTGGAGTGTGGGCTCATGAAACCAGGGTTGCCGGTTCGATTCCTGCTATGGGCTGGGGAGCTGCACCCTCCACAACTAAGGATTGGGGACAGCTGCTTGACTTGGAGCTGCTGATGGGTCCTGGAAAAATGCCCTCCACATCTAGATTGAAACAGCTACTTGACTTGGAGCTGATGGGTCCTGGAAGGACACACTGTTCCCCAGTAAAATTTCTTTAAAAAAAAAAAGAATACATGATAACGAATCTCACGCCTTAATAGCTATGATTGAATTATTTTTGGACTATTTTCTCTTTTAGTTGTTACTCAGATTTAACAGTTAATTGCATGTTTCTGCTTTTCCCTACCCCACATCTGCCCTGTGCCACAAAGAATTCCCACCAAACAGGTAAATTGGAGGATGGTAACTTACTGGACACATCTTGGAATCACCTGTTAACTTTCTAACTAGGCAATTTAAAGAGGTGAGGTTAGTCACTGAGCACTGGTCTGCGATCAGAGCTTGGAGGTAGATTCTCCTGCAGCTCCTCGTATAAAATCAAGGACCCTATCCAGTGGGGACTCTTCCTGATGTCTTTCTCTTTGTTTTCAGGGATTGCTTTTATACTATGACCTTGTGGAATCGACATTTGATAAGTTCAAGTTGCCTAGCAGGAAGGTGGATGCTTTAGATCATTTCCAAAAATGCTTTCTGATTTTAAAATTGCACCATCAGCGAGTAGACAGTGGCAAGTCCGGCCAGCAAGAAGGAAAGACCTGGAAGGCCATCCGTGTAGACCTGGTCATGTGCCCCTATGAGTGCCGTGCCTACGCTCTGCTGGGCTGGACTGGCTCCCGGGTAAGTGCTACCTGGATTAGTGGGACAGCAGCTTAGAGGGGTGACAATAGCCATGAAGGAGGGGTGACAGGGGAGGGGTCAGTGCCCAGAAACCTCTAAATCCACCTGCACATGGTCAAGTTTGACAGATTAATGGAGAACAGTTATTCTTTTTTTAAAAGATTTTATTGGGGAATTGGGGAAGGAGAGCAGCATTGGGGAATTGGGGAAGAGGAACAGACAAGTTGCTGTTCTTTTGTTCTTCAGTCTATTTGTGGAGGACGTTGCTTCTCTGGCCCATGTTGGTATTGTGATCATTGAGCTCTTCCCAGATGAGGCAGATCAGTCGCTGACCTCTGGATGGCTGCTCACAGCAGCACTTGGCAGCTCATGCTGGCTGCTGGCCACTCACGGTAGCTTATGGCAGCCCACTGCAGCAGGGGCTGCAGCCTATGCCATCACCGGTGACTCACCGCAGCCCAGCTCCAGGTTGAGCTGTTGTTCACCATCTTAGCTGTAAGGGCGCAGTGTCACTGGCCCTCATGTGGGATCCGAACCAGGGCCCTGCTGCTCAGAGCTGGCATCCCAAACCAACTCCTAATCAATGAGCCACTCGGGCGGCCCAAGACAGTTATTCTTAAAGTGTGGTCCACTAACCAGCAGCATTAGCCTTACCTGGGAACAGGTTGGATTGTAAATTCTCCACTCCACCCAGACTTACTGAATCAGAAGCTCTGTGGGTGAAGCCCTGCAGCTTGTATTTTAAAAAGCCCTCCAGGTGATTGGATGCAGCTGAAGTGTGAGAACCACTGAAGTGGAGAAGGCAGCACCGTGGCTAAGAGCACAGGTTTCGCCGTCCCAGACCAGTTACAAGTCCCTGCATTGCCGCTTACCAGCTGGGGGGTCTGGGACCAGTTCCCTTTAAGACTAAGCTTTCCCATCAGAAAAATGAGGGTGATGACCTCAGCTACCTCCCTGGGCTTCAGGGACTCAGAGAGATGAAGCTGCCTAGCCCTCAGCACACGCCAGGCACATACATGGTCAGGGCTGGCCAGGCGGCAGCGCTCAGCTCCAGTAGTGTTACAGTCACAGGAATGGTGCCCTTGATTTTAATCTCATTAGCACGCGTTTCAACCTCCAAACTAAGCTTCCCGCCTCCCAATGAGTCCTTGGAGGGTTTTATACGGATGAATGACATAGCACAAAATAATTGTCCTCAACCTTGAATTAAATGTCAGGCGTCTTTGTTTTGGGTCCGGAATTATTTCAGCACAGGGTTCTTAGCACCAGAATTTCTTATCCTAGTCAAAAATATCAGCTGGCATCTTTAATTCATAAAAATTGGAAAAGCTTATGAAGCGATAACTCTTTGGGAATGCAGAGTCTGTTGAGAAATGGGAGAGTTCCAAAAAGAAGTCCAAGGCTATACAAGGTCATGTTAGTTAGGAATCACTGGCAGAAATGGTTGCCCTTTGTCCATTTTATTTTTAACATAAGCATATTTTCAACACATTTTTGTCTCTGAGTTCTCTGAACTTACTGCTATTGGTTCTGTGGGCATTGACAGAACACTAAACTCTGCCACTTTTTAGCTCAGTGACTCTAAACAAATTATTTAACCTCTTCAAGCTCCAATTGCTCCACTTGTATTGTGGATAACAGTGGTGCCAACATCCTAATGTTACCACCTGGGTTAAGTGAGATGCTGTGTGTGTTTAAATGTGGTAGAGGGCTCAGCAAATGGTAGCTACCTGTGTTATTATCTTTATGCCCCCACTGATGTGACCACTGAATGTGGTGTGTTTTGTCCCCAGGTGGATACATGTGGGTGGGTGACCAGGATTAGGTCTAGTCTAAACTTCTGTAGATGAGAAATTCCATTTTACCTTTTTGCCCAAAGATTTCAGGGCCTGGGACGTGTTCTCAAGACTAAGTCAAGTCATCCATGGATCTCACCTCAGCTTGTGGTCATTCATTTACCAAGTTGTCTGATCTACTAAGCTGACTAAGCTTCCTTAGGATCTTTGTTGCCTAAAGATTTCCTGGGCAAGATACACCCACAGGGACACATTAAGCTGAGATTTTCCAGAGCCATTCAGGAATGGTGCAACTTCTGGGCTGGGTAATTAACAGTTAAAAACCAAAGGGAACTTCTATTTTCCTCTGAATCACGTTTCTTCAAAATAGATCTGCTTAATTTGTCAGCATGACTTGATTTGCCAAGATTCCTTCAAGAGTATTGTCCATGTTCTGTGTCAGGTGTTGGGAGAAGGCATGGCCTCTCCTCTGGAAACTCATAAATGACCGGCCAGGTGCGTAGGCTAACCTAGGCCCTTTGCTAGTCCAAATGGCATCCCTTCACCAACTTTAAAAAGCATCTCTTCCTTAAAATATCTTTCTGTTATTTTCCAGAAAATTGTCGTAATAAACATGCATGTCTGCAAAGACTACAAATGTGGTTGGCACCCCCTAGAGTTGTCACAGTGCACAACTTGCACAACTGTATGCAGCAACCCTCTAAAGTTTGTTGTGACCAATGGTACAGCCAGACTGTAGTACCATCACCCCTGCTTGATGTTCAGCTTTCTTCATCTGAAACATAAGACAACATCCTTGCCATGCCTATCTCACAGGGTTGCTGTAAGAAACTGGAGGTTTTAAAGCAGAAGGCAGACCTGACCAGGGTAAAGAGGCTAAGCTTTGGGATTCGAAAGTCTGAGTACTAGCTCTCACTGGCTGTGTGGCCTCTGGTAAATTACTCAGGCTCTCTGGGCCTCCCTTCATCATCTGAAACATGGGGCTAATAACAGTACCAACTTCACAGGTTTATAATGAGGATTATATGAGACAGTGCTTTCATCTTAGCACAATTTTGAGTTCACTTATGTACCTAAAAGTGTTCTTCAAGGGGTGATATTAAGCTCTTTTAGAAGCAGTTAAGTATTAGCAGTAACAGAGCATATCATAAAATTAATATAAAGCAAGAGCTCTATCCAGTGCCAGGCACAGAGTGAACTCCCCATAAATGTTAGCGAGGATATCATTGACCGGAGTATTGCCACAGCCTTCCTAACTGGTCTCCCTGCTTCTGCCCTGCCCCCCAGCCAAGTGATCCTTCCAGTGTGAGTCAGATCAGGTCACTGTCCTGCTCGAACCCTTGCAGGGGCTCTTCATTTAATGGAGAGTAAATGCTGTAGGTCTTACAGTGGCTCACGAGGCCTTGCATGATCTCCGCACCCTTTTACTTCTCTGAGCTCCTCTCCTACTGCTCTCTTCCTAAGGCCTCTACTCTAGTGGTTTCCTCTGCCTGGAGTGCTCTTGCCCCAGAATCCACTTGGCTAACTCCTTCACCCCCTCAAGTCTTTGCTCAAACCCCACCTTTTCAATGAGGCCTGCCCTGTGCACAGCACTTACCTGTTTTAACATATCTTATAATGTATTTATTCTGTTGCTGTGTCCTATCTGTGTCCCCTGCTAAAATCCAAGCCCCACCAGGGCAGACATCATTGTTTTGTTCAGGGTTATATTCCAAGCACCCAGAACATACCTGGAACATAGTAGATGCTCAATAAATATTTGTTGAGTAAATCTTATTACCCTGCAAATGAATGACATCATTATAATTCCTAACAGCCTAGGGGGAAAATGCTCCTGAGGTTTTATCAGAGGAGTCCAGGAATATACCTCTCACCACACAGAACTGGGGAGCCCCTCACTGCCCTCATTATCCCCTCTCTCTGCAGACTCCCCAACACACAGTGTGAGCAGCCATTATTCTGAGTGCCGGGGAACAGGAGGAAAGTGGCCCAGGGCAGGGCAGGTCTTGTGCTAAGCAGCGCTCCTCTACTTTCACAGATCAGAAACTACAGCACCCAGAATCTGTTTCCCCTCAATTCTTCCACAACCCTGGCTTCCTCTCCGCTGTATTACAAAGGACTTCTGGTTGGAAAGTCTGTCTTCTCACACACTCTGATGATGGTCTAGAAGGGCAGTTCCCAGCCTCAGCGAGCTTTCCTATAATAGGAAATTGTTCCTCGCCACTAGAGGGCGCAATTATCCCATGCTTTCTCCCCACTGCCCCATGGAAAGGACCGTATTTCTAGATCTATGCTTCTCTCAGGAAAATTAACCTCAACGACAACTTCATTTATTGTCCTCCTTTTCCAAGTACTTCCTGTCCTCTAGCTTAGGTTTCAGCTTTTGCTCCCTGCAGCCTCACAGTCCTCCCCTGATCATAGGAGATGCTATTCTGGGGCAGGTGGCTCAGACCATCAGTTTAATGGACCCTCATATGAGAGGATGTTAGAGCCAGAGGTGACTTTACGCATTCCCCTCTTCCATCCTCCTGTTTGACCAATCAAGGTTCAGAGAGGCTGGGTGACTTGCCGAGAGATGCACAGCCAGATAGGGACAAAATCTGGCTGGAATTTGGGTCTCCTGACTCCTCATCCTCTTTTACAATAGTGATATTCCAAACTATTATTTATCCAGCACTTACTCTGACACAACCCTCACAATATTTATTTATTCATTCAACAAACATTTGCCACACATCTTATATGTGCCAGGCATATTTGAAGAGGAATATAGTTATGAACAAAACAAATCAGGTTCCTGATTTCAGAGCTTGCATTCTAGTGTGCGCAGGTGAGCATGGAGCTCTGGCATCGTAGAGTTTTGCCCTAAGGGAGAAAATTGCTTTGAGAACATTTAGTGGAGTTTATTCCACTAAAGATAGGTATTTCATTATAGGGATTTAGATATCTCTAAACGCATAATACTGAAGACATTCTGGACTTGATAATAACTTATTTTAATTATCTCTTTTCCAGCAGTTTGAGAGAGACCTCCGGCGCTATGCCACGCACGAGCGGAAGATGATACTGGATAACCACGCTTTATATGACAAGACCAAGGTATAGCTGTCTCCCTGAGATGGGCTACTTTGACCCTCATTCCCAAGGCTGGCTCCCTGAGCACTTTTCCTTTAGTGTCCAGGTTCAATTTCCTTTGGCTGAGTGCCCTGTTCCCACAGATCACAGCTGAGGGAAACTGGAAAGATTCTGATGGGAGCACAGCCCCCACCTGGTCCAGAATGCACCTCAGGGGCATTGGGCTCAAAGATGATGAGCTCATAGGGCCCCCAGAACCAGTCCAGCAGTGAACATTAATTGAGTTTGGTAGATCTTTGGTGTTTGCAATGAGTAACCCACAAAAAAACCGAAGATCCCCCCCAAATCACAAATACCACTCCAGCACCCTTCAAATGCAGTGGGTGGTAGCGTTTTGAGTGAACAGTATGTCATTAATGAGAGTCTATGGCAAGAAGGAGAGCAACAGAGCTGTCCTGAGATGTAGCTGAGTGGTCAGCTAGGCTCACTCACCAGCCATGTGACTCACTTGGCACGCTAGCCTTGCAGTGGTGATGATTCAAATTCATGCACCAGCAAAATGATAAATTACTGTATGAATTTGGAAGAGTTAAATATTCAACTGTTAAATTCACAAGTACCAAAGTCTACTGTTCTAACAGTGGTCAAGGACAGTAAACTAAGCTCTGAGGGGAAAGAAGGCATACAATAACTAAAAGTAATAGTCTTTTCCCTCCAGGAGCTTATAGTCTAAATAAGGTGTATTTAGTTAGAGCTGTCTCCGTTACAAGTGTCAGAAACCCAATCCAAAATGGCATAGGCCAAAAAGGGGAATTTGGTTTACATACTGCAGCATCCAGGGTAACAATGACTTCAGGTGTGGCTGTATCCAGGTGCCCAGGCAGGTTCCCCTCAGCGTTGGTTTCATTCTTAGGCAGGGTTTTCCCATGAGTCCCAGTCTCCCAGCTTAGCTACCCCAACAGAGAAGAGCCTCTTTCCTAGTCGTTCTAGCAAGAGCCCTAGCTGTTGCTCGTTGGCCAGGCCATGTGCCCATCCCTGCACCCATTACTGTGGCTCTGATTGGCCAGGCTTGGATTGTGTGCCCCTCCCTGGAGGTGAGACCAACACTACCTGACCCTCATGGATTGAGTAGGGAAGGTGGGTTTCCCAAAGAAAAATCAAGGTGCTGCTGTCAGAAGAGAGGGCGGTGGATGCCAGCAGGAATGTCTCAGGTGTTGAGCGTGTGAGTGGAGGTAGATTCACATAACACTATTTAGGAATATTTACAGATTGACATAGAATAAATGATTCATCATAAGCAAGTGTCTCCTATGTGCCCAACACTGTGCTATAGACAAGAAGGGGTGGGGGAAAAGTGGTGCTTGGTCTTAGAGAGATCATGCAGGTGAGGGCAGGTGTGGAAAGGCCAGGAGGAAAACCCACCACCTACAAGTATCCTATAATTGCCACGCCCCATCACCTAGAGCAGCAGTATTTAATTCCGATTGCACGTTAGAATTACCCAGAGCTTTGAAATAGATCGATGAGAAGAACTCTCTTGAGATTCCAATTTCATTAACTTGGAGTATAGCTCAAGCTTCAGTGTTTTTTAAATAAAACATCCTCAAGTGGTTCTAATGAATAAGGGTGGTTAAGAACTACAGACCCAGGGCCGGCCGAGTGGCGCATTGATTAAGAGCTGGCTTGGAGCACCAGAAGGCCCCAGTTAGGACCCACATATGAGGGCCAGTGACACTGCCCTCTATAGCTAAGATGCTGAACAACAGCTCAACCTGGAGCTGGGCTGCCATGAGTCGCCTGTGAAGGCGTAGGCTGCAGCCCCTGCTGCAGTGGGTTACCATGGGCTACCGTGTGTAGCCAGCAGCCAGCGTGAGTGGCTGTCCAGAAGCTGGTGACTGATCTGCCTCGCCCGGGAAGAGCGCAATGATAATACCAGCATGGGTCAGTGAAGCAGCGTCTTCCACAACTAGACTGAAGAACAGAAGGACAGCAACTTGTCTGTTCCCATCCCCCAATTCCCCAATAAAAAAAATCTTTAAAAAAAAAAAAAGAACTACAGATCCATAGGAAAAATACTAAGCGCCTTTAGCTGACTATGTAAGGCTGTCATAATTTGACCTTAATTTATTAAGTGCCATATTTTTGGGTGGGAAAATATAAAAATTACAGAAGTCAGTTAAGAAGAGCTTTTAGGCTCAGAAGAAGGAATCCTGTTTTGGCAATAATTCATCCTGACAAGATAGGTTTACAAGTAAAACTTTCACTATGTCAGCACTGAGACGCTTAACATAAATATCTGAATGCACATATTTCTTGTTATGCTTTCAGAGGATATTTCTCAAAGCAGAAAGTGAAGAAGAAATTTTTGCACATCTGGGATTGGATTACATTGACCCATGGGAAAGGAATGCCTAGAAAAAGTCACCGGCATTGTTTTCTGTTTTTTGTTGTTGTTTTTTCAGGTTAAATAAAATAGGTTTCATAATATAGTGAAAGATGCCTTAGAAACTTGGGGATTCTTTCAGTCTTACTGAAATGCAGATTGCTTCTAGAAATAAATAGTTTTGGAAACATGATAAAGTTCCCACCTGGTAATGGGTTATGCTCTAATAGGCCATTTGTACAACAGTTGCTTAGCGTTCACAATGCATGCTGCCATAGAAATTGTGTTGTAATTGGTGGCTCCTTTCCCGGAAGCTCATCAAAGCCCACTTTGCCCATAATGTAGCTGAAACACTGTGTATTTCCAATAAAAATAGGAGGACACAAAATGGTGGAGTCTTCTCTTTTTTTCACTCAAATATTGGGTTGTTGGAAAAGTCACGATGCATTTTTGCAACAAAAACCATAGAAAAAATATGTCATGACTTTTCCGACAACCCAATATAATAAAATACCCTTAAATAAAAATGTAACAAAATGGAAAAATAAAGAGTTTAAGATTTATCTCAAGGGGAGAAACAGGTGTCGTAAGATCAGAGATTCCGAGGCAGGAATCTTGGAGCAGGTGGTCAGAGCTTGATGTCCGAAATCCAGACCTCCTATTATATTAGCCTCTCTCCAAGAGAGGACTGGAAAACAAGGGAAGAAAAATAAACAACAAAATGACAGTGCCAGAGATAAATGTCTGGTCAGCCTAATAGTAGGTGGGCCGCGACCTGGAGGGGAAGATGAACAATACAGACTTAGAGCCCTGTGAACGGAGAGGCCAGGAAACCTACACAGAGGAGGAGGGAGCTGTAAAATGTGAAAGACTGGGAGGATCTGGATCACACTATTCTTTGCTCTAGGGCTAGGCTGGAATTTCATCAATTAATAGGTTGATGACAAGTTAATGCAACTCAGCCGTCCCTAGTGCCTCCTACTTTGGGAGCAGAGCGCCCTCTGGTGGCGAAGAGAAGAACTTTTGACGGCAAATAAAACATGATCAAGGCATAGCAAGTAAGAAGCCCAAAAATATTGAGCAGGGCCTTGGAGACCTTGTAGTCCATCCTCCTCATTCTACAGCAGACAAAGCAAGGTCTGCAGAGAGGCACCGGCCTGCCCAACACCACACAGTTAATGCCAGAGGTTTGCTGATTCAGCAGAGGATATGCACATGGACTGGGTTCTCCTAATTACTAGCTGTGTGGCCTTGGACAAGTTACCTAACCTCGCTGAGCCTCGATTTCCACTTATGTGAAATCAAAATGATAATGGGTCCTCCCTTTGCGTCTACTGGAGGATTCAGTGAGGTTATGCTGTAAAGTGCTTGATTTGGCTTCATTTTGGAATTGGGAAGGATCAAGGAACAAGTTCATAATTACCTTGGGAGAAGGGGCATTCAAGAACATTGTCAGTACTTTACTTGTAAAGTACCAGCAGTAAGTACCAAGTCCCTGAAGATAAACAACAGGTGGTGAAGATTAAGGCCAATGTCCTGGCTCTTGGACTCCCAGACCTGAGGCTGCCTGGACTAGCAACGCCAACTGAAACTCTCTGGGCACCAGGCCGAGGGTGACAGGAGGCCACGGTCTGGTCCAATGGAAGCCGAGAGCTACTTTATGGGGACCTTCAGGTACTCGCTGCCTTTATCTCCTAGCGACAGATGGGAGCCACAGTGGAGGTCACTTTTATTTGTTTCGAATATACTTTTTACCAATCAATGCACATTATGGTAAGTATTTTGAACTCTTCCCTCCAGCATATATATCAAAGAACCCCAGAACAGTACAGAACCCCTCCCCTCAATTACCAGTTAAACTCATTATTCTTAACTCTTCATTTTCTGCAAACTTAAATAATTCCTCAAAGCAATTTGCTTTACAGTTTCCAGGACCAATAAAACCTCTGTAGAGCCTCCATTTTCTCATCTATAAAATGGGTATAGTAATAGCTACACCCAAGAGAGAGCCTATTTTATGTCTCTGAGCCTAGAGGGAAAGCACCTAGATGAAAGCTTTCCTGATAATATTTCCTTGGTCAGATAGGAGACTCCACATTCATTTGGGTGGAGGGCCTTTTCCAGAAAACCAGTTGCCTTTAGCTTTTTCATTACATCTCCAATATTATCATAGGACCTGGTAGTCATCTGACATATGAGGGAAACCATGCACATTTGTTAAATTAACTTATGCATGAATCAATACATCTCATCAGAATAGTGGGAGTGCAAAGAGAGTATGAATAGGCAATATTTCAAAAGTTAGCCATCATTGATATTTTTTTGTCTTTAATTAGCATTGCAATGTTGCAGTGATAAATGCCAGAAGGAAAGCTACATTAAACTGTTGTTTATTGGCAAAATACAGGAGAACTAAGTATCTCTCCCCACTTGCAAAGCCAAGAGCTCAGGAAGACCTCAGAGGATACAGAAAGCTGTGTTATGGGAGTGGTGAAGCAGGGAGGCAGAAGGGGGTACTTATTTTGCAGGATTTGGGAAAATAAAGGTAGAATGTTTGAATTGAGTAGATATAATCTTAGAGACAAGCCAATGCGAACACCAGGTGATGCATGAAGAAACAAGACCAAAACACAGTGTACGACCGGCCCTAGGTCACCTTTAAGCTAGAAGCGATCCTGGGTTAGGGAACCGGAGCTTCTGACTTCCTGTCTCAGCATTTTCCTCACAACACGGGCTGCCCTCCATGAAAGACTGAACATCTCCATCATCAGCCTAGCAGGGACAGTGCCAGCACCAGGAATATCCCTGGGATGACCTTGATTCCAACCCCAGGGCCAATGTCATGTGCTTTCATGTTAACAAAGGAAAACCGCAGACATGTTGCAGATTCATAAGAATAATCATTTTACTTTTCACTTTATTCCAAAATAAGTTTTTGTGCATTGTAGCAAGAAAAACAACAGAAATACTGAACCTTACTAGTTTAGTAGAAACAATTTTAAAGAAAGATTCTAATCAATGGACTGTAAGTGGAATTAAAATAAATCATCTAAAATACAAGTCACACATCAATTTATAGACTCCAAGCCTTATTCACATGCATATTTCAGTCCAGCCTCACCACTGCCCTGGGGGTAGGAGGATGAGAACTGCTATCTCCATTGTGTAGGTGCAGAGCTGAACCTCCCAGTGGTCAACAATCTGCCCAAGGGCTGGTACCTATAGGCATCGAGGCCAAGGCCACAGTCATGTTCTCAGCAAATTCAAGGTCTTTCTCAACATGTTAGAGAAGTACAAGAACCTGGATCACTGGGCACATCTGCTTAAAAATGGCCAACCCTGCTTTGTCAAGGTAACTAGACCCAGGGGACTTGGCACAAAACTAAATTTCACAAGAGACTTTGAAAAGCATGGTTTGGCATATGACAGTGAATGGGTTTATAGAGCCCATTCTTGGTTATTTAAAGAAAAGAGGGGGGTGTTTCTGAATAATCTGAGAAAGCAATATTTCCACAGCATGTCAAGGTGGTGGATGGAACTGGTAAATAGACTCTCTGAGATGCCCTGGACCCAACTTCTCCCACCAGGAGACCTGGCCTACTCCTCAATGATGGCCCTGGGTGGGGAACTAGGATTCCTAGAAGCCTCCTCAAAGAAGCGATGGTGATGGCCTGGCGCAAGCAGGCTGACACTGCCCATGGGCTTCCCACAGGTGACAGGCACACTGCTCCTCAGCCCATCCCTTTGGTCTGGCGTTCATGTATGCAGAATCCTCTGGATCTCTCTTCCTGATAATGAGATTTCCCGCCATGATAGTCCAAAGACTTGGGCCTTTTTCCCCATTTCCATAGCTCTCATTTCTAATAATCATTTGAAGCAACCTCTGCCTTCCCTTCACTTTCTTTACTCTCAACACTCACACACACACACACACACACACACACACACACACACACCATTGCAGAGCTGCCCTCCTTAAATACTGTCTGATCACAAACAAAAGTGGGAGTGATGAATGAATGACCCAGCCACGTGCTGCCCCTGTGGTCAGGGCATGTGTGGCGCCACGTGATTTCTACCCTGAGATATTCAGAAATAAGGAACTGCTTCCCCTCACACATCCCCCCTTAGCTTCATTTCTATGCCAACTTGTACCATGCTGGCCTTGGCCAACCCTCCCAAGGGAGCCAGGTCTGATGGCTTTTTGAGAAATGGGATATGAAAAAACATGAGAAGGCAGGGCACCCCAGTCGGGACCCCCTCTCATTTTGAGAGCTGTTACTTTCTGCACTAATAAACTGTCCTCTGTTGCAACAACAACAACAAAAAAAAGATAAGAAGGAAAGACCCTCAGAAATCAAGCCCCTTTCCCAAAATCACAAAGAAAAGCAAATTCTCATTGGGGTCAGGAACAGGACCCAAAGGCTCCTTCTGGGCGCACAGTGACCTCAGTTGGTGCTTCACTGCTTATTAAACCACAAGATCTGAGACTTGGAATGAACCTTATTGGCTCTGTCCCCTAAAAGCACAAATCATCCCAATAGTTTTCCAGACCTGACAATGAAATTTGGATTCGGTAAGAAGCAGCTTGGCATCTCTCCTCATGCCAAGCACAAAACTCTGGTTTTTCAGCTCTGTTCCGCCTCCAGCTCTGCTCCTTGACTGAGCTGCATCATTCCAGGCTGAGTCTGGGCATAAGCCACCACAGTCCTCGCCTCCTCTCCATTTCCTCAGGAGGATGGTGAGGGTTGTGCATGGGCTCCTCGCTTCCTGCGACCGTCTTCACGTATATGTGAGTTTCTTCTTCTCCCATCATAGTCTTCCCATGGGTGGGTACCCTCCTAGGATTCTTGAGGAAACAAACAGGTTTAAAACAAAAATTACAGCAAAGTCTTCCGCTTCTGGCCGATTGGAGTAACAGCAGCCAGATTTATTATCCCCCTGAAACAACCAAAAATCAGACAAAACATCTAAAACAATAGTTTTCAAGACACTGGCCATCAGTCAAGGAGGGACAGTGAGCCTTGAGAGACAGAAAACAAATGAGGAGAGGTCTACAATTGCCTGACCTTGTTGCCTTGGAAGGGATTTTAGGCCATTCAACGTTCTTTTGCTTAATGTTAGCATGCTATCTGTTTTTCTATCCATTTCCTTTTAACCTATTAGTGTCTTTATTTTGAAAGTGAGTTTTAGTAGGCAATATATAGTTGGATCTTGTTTTTATATCTAATCTAAATATCTCTGCCTTTTCATTGAGGTATTAATGTCATTTACATTTAATGGGATTATTGATATGGTTGGGTTTAAATCTGCCATCTTGCTATTTGTTTTCTATATCATCTGCTCATTGTTATTTTTCAAATCGTTTTTCTCCCTTCTCCCATACAGATTTTAGGAGCATCTTATTAAGTTCCATGAAAAAAAAAATCTGTTGAGGTTTGTATTGGATTTACATTTATTATGCAGATCAATTTGAGATTGTTGGGCATCGTTATGCTATTGAGTCTTCCAATCTAGGAGCATGGTATATATAACTACCGTTATTTAGGTCTTATTTAATATCTTTTACTAAAGTTTTATTTTTCTCCATAAAGGAATTATATGTTTTTGTTAGATTTATTCCTCAGCATTCTATATATTTTTATTGCCACTACAAAACAGTATTTTTAAAAGTTACTTTTTCTAATTGATTGTTATTCATTTTTAGAAATGCCAAATTACTCTTGTATACTGATTTTTGTATACAGTAAACTTGTTAGAATCTTGTTAATTCAAATAATTTATCTGTGATAATCATATCATCTGAAAAAAATGACAGTTTTGCTTCTTCTCTTTCAGTTTTATACTTTCTACTTCTTTTTCTTATCCTACTGCATTGACTAGGACCTAAAGTACAATATTGAATAGAAGTGGTAATTGAGAGCATCCTTGTTTTATTTTTTATCTTAAATAGAATTCATTATCATTTTACCCTTAGATATGATGTTTGATATTAATTTTTAAAAAAACATACTGCCTTTCAATTTAGGGAAGTTCCTATTCTGTTTTAGTTTGCTAAGAGTTCACATCACAAAAGGCTGTTTCATTTTTTTAACTCTCTTTTGCTATTCAGATGGTCACATGGTTTTTCTCTTTTCATTTGTCAGTGAAATAAGTTATATTAAATTGATTTTCTGATATTACATCAACCTGGAATTCCTGTCCAGCCAATAAAAATACCGAGAACCCCCTTTGTCCTTGAGTTTGACTTGGTCATCTCTTTTCCACAGGTGCTCATATTGCACTTCTCCTGTACATACAAAAGTCTTTAAAACCCTTGTTTTACTATGTTTGTTTACTGTATGGTGATATATAGTGATTATAACCAAGAGTTCTTACCTCAGCTATCTTGGGATTGTCATCAATTTCTGTAATTTCACATGGCCTCTCACTTTCCTAAGTTGGTATAAACAAACAAACAAACAAATAAATAAATAAAATGAAAGGTTACAGCATTTGCCCGTGACCATGATTAAAATCAATGGTTCTTAAACCTGGGTGCACATTACAATCGCCAGAGAACTTTAAAAAGAAACCACAATAAGCAAACAGATAATAACTCTCCCCTCCCAAAACATAAACAAGAAATACCACTGTGAGTTACTTCAAAAATAATCCAGGGTGGACAGTGTGGGGAAGTGGGTGGGAGTAGAGATGAAATACAATTGGTCATGAGTTGATAATTAAGTTCATTATACTATTCTCTCTACTTTAATATATGTTTAAAATTATCCATAATAAAATTTTGTGGTTTTTTGTTTTAAAGAATAATGCCACAGCTCTATTATCCAGTGGTACTAATTTAATTGATTTTGATGACTGGTATTTTTGTAGCCTCCTAGATGATTTTAAAGTGCACTGAAGGTGGAGAAAATAGTACTTAACTTTTAAATAACACCACCAGCAACCACAATACTCCTTAACGTGTTCAAAGTTTACAGCTTGTCAACACATCTTTATACCCATGGCCTCATTTCATCCTTGCAACTTTGCCTGCCTCTTAAAACAAGGAGGGTAATTTTCATGACTTCTTTTAAGTTGAACTAACCGAGGCACAGAAAAGGTGGTCACTCGTCCAGGATCACATAAATCACAGATTGGCAGAGCCAGGGTTAGAGCCTCGGTTTTCTATCTCTCTGTGAATGCGTACCAGTGTGAGAACACCAGGAATGTTCATAACCAGAGGATGGAATTAGAACCCAGAGTCCACACAACACAGTTATATCACAACCATGGAACCTCACTGGTATCGGTCTGGGTGGCCTTTGCATTCTGACATGGTCCCCAGAGCCATCTGGCATTTGGAAGGGGTGGGGTTGGTAGATTCCCTTGTGATTGATGGGTGTTCAGATTGTGGAAAAGGGCAAAGACAAATAAAGCTGGACATATGCTTACTGGACACCTCAGTACTTGTTTGTCTCCTATCTTTCCTAAGCTTATCTCCATTCTCTTTATGAAGCTTGTGCCTTTTTGTTTCTTGACTTTAGAAAACACATCCACTGTATAGACATGCGTTTGCCATTGCAACAGACATCCCTCTTCACTTTTTGCCACTCCAAATACCATCCTTGTTGCCACGGATTTCCTCAAGGGAGCTGAGGTTGTAATGACAAATCAGCCCCACCTGGAGTGTAACGTCATGAGTCTGAGATAGAAATCGAGGTGCAGAAATGTCCACCATTTGTCCTCAGAAAAGAGACACAGATCCTGACACTCTTTGCCCAAAAAGCATTTCACGAAAATGCCAATTCCTGCCAACACATCCAGACCCAAAGAACCTACAAATCACCTCAGGGGACTCAGCGCTGCTTCTTCTTCGGTGAATCAGAGTGAAGAGTAAAGCCACCAGCAGGGCTGTGGCCACCAGGGACGGGATGCCTGCTGCTAACCCCAGAGAGGGCCCACAGTCCTGGCACAGAGAAAAGCAGAGTCAGCCTCCACCAGAATAAAGGAAACGTTCAATTGCTTCAAAATAAAACAAAACAAAAATGTTCAGGAACCCTTTATACCAAAACAAAAGGATAATGAAATACTGTGAAAATGTTTGCAATGTACATGACAAATGTCTCATTTTCATAGGACTTAATTTACATAGTTTAAGTCAATTGGAAAAAGGGCGATAATCCAGTTGAAAAAATGCACAAAGGATAGGAACAGTCCATTCTTAGGAACAGAAACACAAATGTCTCATCAATACTGCAAAAGCTGAGATACATTTCAATGTATCAGCCAAAAGTATTGTAAAAGGTTTTATTACATTCCACGCCATTTTTCTTTTTCTCTTTTTTTACTTATTTGCACTCAATGCATTGATTAATTTTCAAATTCCCATTTCCCTTTGATCTGAGTGGACATAGCCATGCTTATATCCACATAAGTTTTCAGATTTGCAGATTATCTGGAAATATCAAAGATAATCTGCAAAATCCCCTTAAATGTGCAATTCTCATATATAACACATACACAGAAAAGTATATAAATCATAAATATGTAGCTTGATGACTTTTCACATGATGAACCCATCCATGTAACCAGCACCCGAATGAAGAAACAGAACATTACCACACCCAAGAAGCCCCCTCATGTTCCCTTCTAGTCACCCCATGTGTAACCACTCTCCTGAAATCTATCACCATACATTTGTTTTGTCTGTTTTTCAACGTCATCTAAATGCACATAGCAAGAATGCACAGTAAGTCCTTACTTAACGGCGCCAATTGCTTCTTGGAACTGCAGCGAAACAATGTAGAGTGAAACCAATTTTACCATGGACTAATTAATATAAACAAGAGTTAAGTCCCCACAGTATCTCATCAACGCTATAACAAAATGATGTTGAACAAAACGACGTTGTTTGAGGACCTGCCGTATGCTTGCATCCAGCTTCTTTAGCTCAACGCTTTGTGAAATCCATCTGTGAGTTTGCAAACTCTCCCCCACTTTTGAGCTGAGATGGTCACAAGAATAATACTTGAGCCAGATTCTGTGCTTAGTGACAGTTCACACATCAAACTCTTTATCTATTCCTCAAAATAAATGCACAAGATGGATACAACATTATTATCCCCATTTTATAAATGACCAAAACCAAGGCTCCAAAATTTAACTGACATACTTACCACTTCTTTCCCACCTGTAACAACTGGGGAGGATGTCTGTGTGGAAAAAGTACATACATCTTAAGAAAGCAAAATCCATAGAATGCGTATTATACCAGACAGTCTATCAAAGGCGAAGCTATATGCCTAAAGTTTGCCCCTTTGCTCAACATTCTATTAACAACAACAAATGACAACAGCTGCCAAACAGAACCTTACTTGATTGCTTCCCAGGTAAGACGGAATTAAATTTGGCTACAAATTTAATTGAGTTGAGAAATTCAGTTGAGGCCTGTGTTATTCCCCCTGTGGATTTGCCATAACATTATTTTACACCTCAGAAGGACTTGCCCTTGTCCCTAGCCGCCACATCCTTCCCAGCACACTTTGGGCCTACCTGTCCCCATTGCTTGAGGGAAAAAACATAAAGACTGGTGGAAGCGAGGGTCTTTATGGATGCCCTATTGTATTCAGACATGCAGTGAAGCAAATGGCTTTGGGCGGATCTGAAGTTGTGAACTCTCCATGTTACTGAGGTGGTTCCACTTTGAATGAATACAGGGCATGTTTCCACTTCACATCTCCACTCAAGGAGGGGTACTGGATCTCACCATTTATGAGCTATTTCAGGTGACAGTCTTACCTGGATCAATAAACCTCAGCTAAGAGATTTACTGTACATTTCTTATACGTTAGCAACTAACCTGTGAAAATTATGCTAAAGCGGTGTAGTGTGGGGTTAAGTGCAGGTCCTGGGCTCACTGCCTGGAGTGGAATGAAGATGTCTCCACGCATAGGCTAAGGGGCCCCATTTCTTCATCTATAAAACAGGGATGTTAGAACCTATCCCAGAGCTGTGGTGAGTACCAGAAGTATGAGCTTTTGTCGTTCCTTTAAACGTGGCAAAGCTCTGGTCAGGCCTGTTATTTATTTAATATTCTCACCAACCTCAGTAGTATCTTGGAGTTCCTGGGGCTTAGGATTTTGACAATTATTGTCTCTATTTAAAACAAACAAACCAAAAAAAGAACTAGATCTCAGAAATTATGGGATTTTGTCCAAAGTTCCTCAGATAACCATAAATCTAACTTGAACTTGAGTGTTCGAATTCCAAGCCTAGACCTCGTTCGCAGAGAGCTCCCACCAAAGGAGGATTGTAATAAAGGAGGCATTGATATTTGGTACTTAAATGGTTACAGTTTTATCTAAATACAACCTCACCCCCCACCCCCATATTACCTTAATGCTGCATTTGCCTAAAGTGTTCAGTTTCTCTGGGTTGTGATAAGAGTCCAATATCAGGTAAGATGTTCTATCTTCAGGTTACACAAATTTACTTGGGCTGGATTTAACCCCCCAGAAAAGAGTTAACTATAAGGATTCAGGGGTGCTTCATAGAGCCCCAAAGCAGCAGGAATCTGGCTTCTCCAGGGACCGGAGCTAGGGACTAGGAACTTGTCGGGACCAAAGCCATTCCTCCTGGGATCTCTCCATCTCTCCAGGGCACGTGGCCTTTCACTTGTGCTCTTCTCTATTTGCTTCCTTCTTTTTCTCTCCAGATGAATTTTCCTGCCCTCATGAGCACCTGCTAATCGTATGAGCTAATGCTTAGGGAGTACTTACTATGTGCCAGGCTGTTCAAGTACTTTTGCTGTTACCACTCATTTATTCGTCACAACAGCCAGTGAAGCAGGACTATAATGATCCCCATTTTACAGATGAGAAGACTGAGGCGCAGAGAAGTGAAATAACTTGTGGAGGTCACATAGCCCTAAGTGGCAGGCACCGAGTGGGTGGCTCCAGGATCCAAGCTCTAACCACAGTGATACATTGCCTTCCATGACCAAGTGCAGCACCCAACCCAGTTTTTGTACTTGACAGTTTCTGATTAGCCAGGTATCCACCTCTCCCCAATGCCCCAGTGTGCTGGCATTTCAGATGCACCAAAAGGGAAGGGTTATGTGATAGAAACATAACCAGGTAGGGTGACCAACCTTCCTGGTTTTCCAAAGGGGCTGCCTAGGTTGCAGCACGTTCAATGCTAAAACCAAACAGTCCCAGGCACACTGGATGGCTGGGCATCCAACATAGGGTCCAAGGGAGTAGGAGACAGTTCTCAGAGGAATGGGCTGTTAACCATGGAAGATCTCTAAAAGGTGACAGCTAGCATCATAAGGACTTCTTGCTCACTCACTCACCTCTACCGCTCCAAGCAATGGCGTCTTGCTTCTCTGAGTCTTGTCACAGGGTAGCCCAAGTGAGGACAAGACAGAACCTGGGGTCTCTACAGACCTTCTGAGTTGGAGCAGCCAGGGGAAAGTTCCAGCAGTGACCATATTAAAAGGTTTTCACAGTTAAGGAGCGAGATCAGGTAATTTGTCTGCAGACAACAGGCAGAGGCTGAAGCAGGGAGCAGAGCAAGTCAGGGAGGTTCAGATGGCAGGGCCCCACCAGAGGGTGGAGCAGGTGCCCGGGGGGGTGGGGGACAGATGTCCAGGGCAGCCAGCAGTGGGCCCCAGAAGGCCAGCAGTGAGTCACGAGGTTCTGCCTTCCTGCTGCTCTCCAGAACCGTGCNAAAAATATTTCCATGCATTTTTTTCCATCTTTCTTTGTATTCTTCTTCTTCTTTTTTTTTTTTTTTACTCCCAAGCAATCATTTTAATCAGGCATAGTCCTCTGGGGGGCATATTCAGATCTTTAAAAAATATAACCTTTAACTTTTTGCAAAGACTTTATTTAAAATAATGCTGATTCATCCCAAAGGAATTCTGATGCTCGGGAGCTATCTAGGCTCTCACTGAAAATGCTCTCGTGCTCTGTCCTGTGTTCCATACCAACCAAACAGGACTTAGGGTTATGTAAACATTATTTAAAATTATTCCAACATAAATACTCTTTTAAAGCTACATACCACAGCTTTTAGCTCATAATGCCCATAGATGCCTTAATGAAATGCCATTCAAAACTACCTCACTGTTTAACGTTTACCTGGAGGTTCTAAAATTATGTAAACAACATCCTCCACACTTCTCTAGAACAAGTGCCCGGTGGTGAATTCTGATTGCAAGGTGGCGATTGGATAGCAGTCTGTCTGAGCACAGTCACCGATGCACTCTTTAACCTAATCGGCGACAGGAAGTCAGTCCCAGGTAGACTTGTTCCACAGGGTGTTGATTCTTACATAACTTACAATTCACCAGTTTTCAACAGTGTTCACCCCACGAGGGACCGGAACTAGTCCCTCACAGGAGGTTTTTGCACATTTTGCAAATGCAGTTTGAGTTGGTTGTCAAGGAGTCAAGGTCAACTACAGCAAGTGCCTCCACAGCTGAAGGGAGGAAGAAAGGCTCTTCTGAGCCCATGGAATCCCCAGCACAGGGGGCGTCTTCTCAAAGCCATCGAGTGAGGGAGTATCAGGAGGAGCCAGGATGTGTTCTTCTCGGCAAACTGGGGACCCTCGCCAGCAAATGTTCTACCGAAATTCACAGCAGATGCCTTAGCCTCCTGATGTCATTAGGGATGGCGGGGACGTCACAGCCGGGAGGGAGGGTNTGGGGGACAGATGTCCAGGGCAGCCAGCAGTGGGCCCCAGAAGGCCAGCAGTGAGTCACGAGGTTCTGCCTTCCTGCTGCTCTCCAGAACCGTGCCTCCTCGTTACAGTAAACATGAGCCCTGGCTGAGGTGTCCTCTTACCAGGTAGGTTCCATTTATTCTCTCCGAATAATCATACGACTTATCAGAAACATTTGACACAGCCAACCCCACTGAAAAACTGGGCCAGGACAATGCCAAGCCCAATCACAGCAGCACCACTGGTCAGAAAACAACCCCAGCAGTAACATGAGAACAGAAGATGGAAGATCAATTCTTGATTCAACCTGTGCTCCATCATCTATAGAAATCTCTCTTTTGACTTGCAGCTAAATGTCATAATCAAAAGCCATAAAATGTTCATTCTTGTTGACCTCCACATTCCCCTTCCAGATTATATACTAAGGACATCATCTTAAGTGAAGATAAAGATTTATCTATACCTGTGTTGATCACAAAATTATTCCTAATTGTGATTAATCAATTAAGGAAATAATTCTCTTGAAGAAATATCATGTGGCCATCCTCAGTTATGGTTATAAAGGCTGATGGAAAACACTTATCATGTAAAATTATATGTAAAGGAATTATATGTGCAAAGACAACAAAAGTCAAAATCTACATAGAGGCTAAAGGACTGGAAGGAGTGATGTTTTCTGCGGATGGGAGTTTAGGTGGGGGTTTTTGTTTTTATTTTTTTCCTTTTTGCTGTTTTCCTTTTCAACATGCATTTTTATAATTGAAAAAATTTCTCTCAGCAGCCGCAACTCTTCCTAAGGGCCTTTGAAGAACTGTGTATGCCATTGCTCCCCATGGCGTATGTGATGGTGAAAGCTCTGCATCGGTGTTTGCCGACCTGCCTGGTGAATGAGGGCAGCTGTACTTACCGTGTTGGCGGGCAGTGTGAAGTTCAGTGAAAAACTCTGCAAAAGAGAAGAAAACATTCAAGCTCCCGGGAATGGTCAGCCAGGCGCCTACCTGACCCCTCCACTAAATGTCACTGATTCTGGAAGATTCCAAGACAAGTCACCGATCCCATAGGCTCAGTCAGCCTCAGGGTCCTCTCCCAGTCTAGGCCCCCAAAAAGAGCAGAGGAACAGAGGAGCCTGAGGCCATCGGTTCTTCCCTCAGTGTCAAGTCAATTTGTCCCCTTGCCCCTCCCAGGTCCTCAACCAGAGCTAGACTAAGGGGCCAGCCAGCAGGGCTATTGCCTCAGGAATCCCAATCGAAAAGGGCAGCAAAAACATTACTAGAAATTCAGCAATGTGCTGGAATAAATTTTTTTTCCTAGAACTTCTTTCAGGAATGGAACGGTGTGAATTTAGAAGTACTTGGTACTTTCTGCTAGAGCTAGGTAATAAAATCCCCAAGGGACACGCTCCAACAAGAACTCCTGCTCTAAGGAGATGTTCTGAACCCCCTTCCCAGGAGAGAGAACCTGAGAAAGACAAGGCTTCCATTTTTGCTGAGTCTGAGGAAGAGGTTCTGGACTGGAGCTGAGCTGGTCAGGACGACAGAAGAGAAGCTAACCCTTCTCTCCCCTCCCCTCACTCAGCACACATGCAGCCTCACCTCTTCCCCAAATATGGAGTCAATATTTAAAGACCGGGGCTCAGTGGGGCACCAAATTGTTAGCCTGCCCAAATGCCCATATATCTGGGTCAGGCCCTGCCCAGGGCTTCTGCTGGCTTCTTCCTCCTCCCTGTCCCCGTCTTCTTTCACTGCATTTAGGGTTCATGGATGCCAGTCTTTCTGATGCTGCTTTTCACCAAGACCACGAGAGACATTCTTCTAGGACAACATAAGAGCAAGTGGGCCACCATAGGTCAGGGGCTTCTTGCTCAAGGGACCGAACACTGCCCTTCATGCTAATACCAAGCGAGCCCACAGAGGCTGCAAGGACACTTGCTGGCCACTGAATGCAGCTGCCCAGAGCCTTAGCTCATCAGCGAGGAGTGGACACTGATGTCAGCAGGCCCAAGACAAAGCTTCCTTTGGAGGGACGGCAGAAGGGAGGAGCAGCAACAAGCAGGCCATTGCGTGGGCTGTTTATCAACATTTGGATGACGACGATTTTGGCCACCTTCAGAAAGACATTCATGTTGTGTAGAAACACACTACAGTGCTCTCATGGAGAGAAAAACATCACGTAAATTTGTTCTTTACAGAGGCAGCAGGGTGGGGTGAGGCAGCCCTGGGTTTGGAGTCACCTCATGGGGATCTGGGTCCAGATTCAGCCACTTGCCAGCTGTGTGGCCTTGGAAAAGTGACTTGAACTCCCCACTCTCCATTGCCTCACAACAAATCTGTTCTCCCAGGCTCGGGGTTTCCATTCTCAAAATGGGAATATGGTTTACTTGCCCTGCCCATCTCACAAGATAAGCCCCAAAGAAATAACATTTGTGGCACCTCCCTCTAAACGGTAAAACACTCCAGGCATATGAGTGTTTGTGTGGTGTCATGTTCTTCCTGACCTGGCCAGCACAGAGAGAGCACAGTGAAGACACTGGGACGTTCTTGGATGGAATCACATGCATCGATCAGCAATAGTCAAAGTATTGGAATTTGGTACAATACGCATTGCTCAAATACTCTTACTGGTAGTCTGAGCACAATTTAATATCTACATAATGGTTCCAAAGGCACTGTAGGGTCTCAGTGGCTGAGTGTCACTTGTTATAAGTTTGCTGTTTGGGAGGAGAAGGAAGGAAAGATGGGATCCTTACTCACTGTTGCTGAGGGTGTGCTGTGTGTCAGACATTGCACTCAGAGCCTCCCCACGAGGGGAGTTCTCTCATCCCTACATCGTGGGTGAGAGAACTGAGACCACGCTGGTTTCTGAAGGTCACCTGCTGGTGAGTGGTAGAGGCTGGGTTAGATCAGAGATCTGCCTAACTCCAAAGCCTGAATTCCACTCCTTTACATAATCTCTTTCATAAAGGCATCATGGAAGCCTCTTCTGTTTTCCCTCCTAACTTAGCAAACTTCATTTGATTGAGACTCAACCCAATTTATATCACAAGTCAATCAATAAATGAAGATGGAAAGTTTCTGATGCAACTTACAAATATCTGTGTTTCTGATCAGGTAGCAGAAAGCACACAGAACAATAAGAATAAAAGCATTGACTGGACCCACTGATTCAGCTGGGAAATGAATTTAGCTGAAACATCTAGTTTGTACTCTTGTTGTATGTGGGTGTTAGAAACAAACCTTAATATTAAAATAAAAGGTGAGATCAGCAAATACTTGATGAGAATTTTTTAAAAAATGATTAGAGCTTTGCATATAGGTACATAATTTAAAACCAAGCCCCTTGACTTCATTGTACCAAGGACAGAATTCTATTAGAATTAGAATATGTGAGCTTTAAAAATTGTTTTTATAGAGAGAATGAGTTAGGTTGAGAAAAGGTGCTAGCTCTCACTTACCATTCCGATAGTCTCCCAAGAACCTTCTCCAAACACTGCCCTCGGCAAGCTCCTTTCTCACTGGTGTTATTGGCTTGTGTCTCACATTTGTAGGAATATCCAGTTGGGAGAGCAAGGGTGATAGGGCAAGAGGTGGCTCCAAGGGAGCCCTGGCCAAGCCATTTATGGTCAGGGGAGTAGCCAAGTTCTCGGCCCATCCCTCAGGGAAGATGGCCTGCTCCATGGCCACCGTGTATGGCCTGGGTCATCAAACCCTTTGCCTTTATTTTTGGTCCTTCTTACTTTTCAGGCCCCTTCTTTCATTAAACGTTCAACTCAGCCAAGAACCCACAGCTGGCCTGAGAGCTGGGAGGCTCCTGCAGCTGGGAGCGCTTTAGAAACAATGGGTTACACAGGCTGAGGCTGGCTGCTTCATTCTCAGCTGCCAGGCATCAGCGCTGACCACTGTCCCAGCAATGGTGGAGTCAATACGCTCCCAGCATCTCTGCAGAGAATGCCTACGGAATGGGTGTTGGAACCCACTCTGTATTTGAGGCAGGGCTGTAGCTGGCACAGTGAACACACTCCCTGGTGGATGAGCTGCCTGGCAGTGAGTTTGGTCTCACCCCTTTCTGTTCTCACACTGAGTGGAGACCCTCCTAGAGCTGGAGGAGGCCGGTGACATGTGCTGCTTTCTGTTTCTTACTAGTTCTCTGTTAGGAGTTTGCTTCTTTAAAACGGTGAACTAATTGGAGTCCCATGCCAATGAAACAACAGGATTAAGACCAATAAATCTGATCATTTAAATGAGTACATTCCTTCCTATAGTCAACAAATCTTTTTGACACCTTCTATCTGCTGAGCACTGTTCTGGGCACAGTCCTCAACATTGGTGATGAAGACAAATGAAGACTCAGCTTTTAGGGAGTCTATGTTCCAGCAAGGGCAGGCAGACAATGATCAGAACAAGTGAAACCACTGTGGGGGACAAACGGGGACGGGAGGGGTGGGGGGGAGAGTTAGCAGAGTCACCAGGAGGCGGTTGACTTCAGATGTCCCCAAGAGATGACATTTAGCTGCGTGTGAAAGATGGAAAGAGTGTCCCAGGCACAGGAAACAGCAGACTCAAAACCCTGGAGCTGAAGCAGGTGTGGTGCGCCCACAGAACTGGAAGAAGCAACATAAACCAGGGAGTGACCCCGGAAGGGGTTAAGGATAGAGTGAGTTAGGGACCTAAGATGCGAGCGTGGAGGGCACAGTAAGATTTCCATTGCAGAGCAATGGGAAACCTTTCAAGGATTTTAAGTGAGATGGGAGCCTGACCTAACTGATGGTTGACAAAACTCACCTGGCTTCTCTGTGGATTACAGGGGACAAGAGTGTTTACCCGGAGACTATTTAGCAGAGTCCAAGTGAGTGATGATGGTGGCTGCCCTGGGATGGGGCAGCGGGAGTGACGAGCAGGGAGTGGGTTTGTGACTTAGTGTGGAGGCAGCAGAGGCAGTGAGACTTGATGATGGAAAAAAAACGTGGGGCAGGGGAGGTAAGAGAAGATGAGGGAGAGAGCAGAATGAAGCCGACGCCTGGGTTCGAGGCTTTACGAACAGGAAATAGAGGCACCATTTGTTTAGTCAGGGAATACTGGAGAACAGGTTTGGGATGTGGGACCCAGGCACTGGGATACTGTCCAAACAAGACCATCGTGGTCTCTGTCTCATGAGGCTTCCAGTTCCCGACTCCTCAGCGGTGCCCAAACTGCATCTACTGGCACCTGTATGTCATGGAGACGTAGTTCAGGCAGACCTGTGTTTAAAGCCTTAGCTGCCATTCTGGAAGCTGAGTGGTCTTAGGCAAGTGAGGTAACTCCTTCCAGCCTCAGTCCCAAGCTATAAAGTGGGATGATACAGTTAACAATGACTGGACTATTTAAATCAGCACAACTGGCACGAATTATACTTCCAATTGAGTTTGGTGGCATAGAATCACACCTGAACCAAATAACTAGAGCAAGGAACTCCAGTTCATGGACCTAGTCTCTTCTGGCTAGGCTGTCTGCAGATGGGCAAGGCCAGTGATGTCCTTTTAGACACTTTTTATTTGCTATGCATCCACTGGTCACCAGCTCTCCTCTCCCTCTGATGGACACATTATTCCTTTAGAAGAATTGGTAAGACCACTCATCAGTGGTGCCCTGGCCTAAGTGTCTGCATCAGCCATAGTTTCCCGGTCACAAGCATCACAATGGACTCTGATTTGATTTAAGAAGAAGGGGGATTTATTGGTTGGGTGTAGTGGAGCTCACAGAAAGAACAGAGGGCCTGGAAATCAGGCTCTGGGGAGGCAGAGCTAGGCTGCTCCTGAGGCTTCAGCCACAGGGACTCCTAGACACTCCTCTCAGGATATCCTACCAGGGAAAAGGAGCTCCAAAATATCTCAGTCCTTTTGCCCCGTGATCAAGACTCCAGTTCCAGGACGAGGGTCTGATTGGTCCAGCCTTGGTCATGTGCCCAAAGAGGACCTGCCACCTGGCTGATGGTCTGCCCAGTGCAGGTCCCTCCCACATGAGAAAAGGAGGTTCTGCAAAAAGAAACTTGGCACCATCAACCAAAAATGAGGGAATAGGTGAAGTGATGGGCTCTCCTCCTACGGAAATATTAGGCCTGAGAATTATCACCTTAGAAATCGCGGAAGGTATACCCTTAGTGGGTGAGAGGTTAGGGACACCAACTCTAAGATTCTCTGATCATTTGTATTTTGCCACCATTTAAATTTGTACAAGCCCCATCACACTGATGGCTTGCCAGGCAACTACTGGTCAGTTTACAAAGCGGGTTCATTCTAAACGATAGGTGGCCTTCTTCTGATTTTTAAAAATCTGTATCTAAAATGTCAGTATGGAAGTAGTGATGAAGTAAAATGTTAAACAGGATTCTGGTCATTTCCTGAGCTATGAAAGTCACATGTGAGAATCATCAGTGGGGTCCACCAGATATTTCTAATTCACCTCATTCTTCACCTGAAGAAGAGCGCTATGAGTAGCTTTGGCCAATGACATGGGAATAGAAGTGATAGTCACTTGTGGGCATTGTAAGAGCCAGTGTGTGATTTGTCGTGCTCTCTTCCTCTTCCTAGGAATCAGCAACGCTGTAGAAAGCAGCTGCTCCATCAGCCCGGCCCCGGCCTGACTGAGGATGATGTAGCAGAGCTTCCAGATACCAGACGTGAACGTGTAATGTGAACAGGAAATAAGCCTTATTATGTAAAGCCCCTGACATCAAGGGGTTGTCTTTGTTGCAGTATAAGCTACCTTATCCTGACCTGTACATCAAGCAGTCATATCCTTATCACTGGGGCTCATCCTTTAGGTATTAGTGACTGCAAAAGGCAGGAAGTCATAAAACCTTGACACTCTATAGCACAAAACAATTGCATGTGTTAGCTAGCGTTGCATTAAGACGAGTGTTTTTAAAAACGTAGTTCCCTATTGTCCTTCCTTGATATGACCCCGTAGAACTCCAAACATACCCAATAGTCTCTTCATCTGGTCAACCTAAAAAGGCTGTCCTCCATGAGATGGGAGTCTCTGTCCTGTGTGAGAAATGACCCTGTATCAGTCAGGGTCCCCACAGGAAATGAGCGATACACTCAACTTGCCGTGTTTAAAGGGGGCTTATTAAAACACTGAAAAGGTCCCTTTGGGGGATAATGCAGTACCCCAGAGTTAGGCCAGCAGAATGTCATTACCACCCCTAGGCCTGAAGGGACGAGTGGAAGGAGAGGGCCACTTTATAAGAGCCATGACCTTCAGTGTTAGAGGTCAGATGTGGTCCTCAGGCACAAAACCAGGTGGGGGAGAGTGGAGAGAGGGACAAACAGAAGATGTCTGCCACATCTAGCAAAACTGCCGGAGCAAACATCTCCACAACACTTATGTTGCCAAATTTCCAGCCTGTTCGGATCCAAGAAAGAGGGCAGCTTTGAAGCCACCTTTAGCTTTGCTCATGACCGCCTGCCTGGGACAATAAGGAGCTCTGTGCTGGAGCCAGGTCCTGGGTACTCACCAGAGAGCCGGGGGCCGTAGAGAAGGTCCCCCCCCTTTCTCTCTTCCCCAAGTTCTTGTGGTACTGGGCAAAAATCCTCATCAAGAGGAACAATCTTATCGGAACTGGTAATACGAACCCAGGACACATCAATCGATCCACATTCTTTAATGAAACAATTCTTTCTAGACAGAGACATATGTTGGCGCCTCTCCACTTTCTCTTTGAAATTGACAACACCTCATGAAATGTAAAGTTACACAAAATTAACATTACAATCTATTTCTAGATAACACTCGAAACAGTTTTTCTTTTTTAAAAAGAAACCTTTTAGGCATTTGGGGTTATTTTTCAGTTCAGTCTACAAAGGAAACTTAAAAACCACCTGCTGGAGCCAAGGG